CAGCTCCCCAGCCCAGGTCACTAAGCAGTTGTGCGAGAGCCTGTCTGAGCACCTATGGGGTATTTTGACCTACGTACATTTTCTGGTGCTTTAATGCCTCGGTTATGCTGGAGTCCTCTGCAGGGAATTTTGTGCTGCTTTCACAAGCAGCTGTGGAAGGGAAAATAAAACTATTATTTTCCTTTCAGCAGGTTAAGCATGGTGTTGCTCATGCAGTAGATTTAAGGGCAGGTGCCTGCACAGGAGTAGAGGGCTTGCTGCACTTGCAGGGCTTGGCCTGGTGTACGCACAGAAGAAGCTGGGCATCCACATCCAGCTGTGGTTCTGGGTGATGAGTGTGATGGTGGAAACTGAGCTCTGTCAAAACAAGTGTTGGGGCCTCTAGTATCAGCACTGAAAGCGCTTTTCAAAGTCTCCCTTTGCGACCATGGGGATCACCTTTGGTGCCAGGGAAGCAGCCCCTGAGGCTCTGCAAAGCCGCTGGTGCAGCCATACTCCTGCTCCGGCAGCTGAGGAGCACAGGCTCCTTCTCACCGGGAGGGTCAGGCTGTCCCCAGTGATTGCTGCCAAAGGGGACCCCAAAGGGAGATCCGCAGGGCCCCTCTTTGCACCTCACTGCTGTGACAGGTCTCAGAGATGTGAATCACACTGATTCATGAAGAGGAAGAGGATACAGAGAGGAGCAGGGAAGAGAGTTTAGGGCTGCAGCTGTGTGACCCTTCGAATTGATACTGTGGACTAAAGTATGTCAGGCGTGATTTAAGAAACATCAATGTACCTCAAAGTAAGAAATCTCAGGGAAGTTTTGGTTTTTTCTTCATGGGCCACTTTTTCAGTGACAAACCATTTTGGGATGAAGCGCTGACCAAATTCACTACAACTTGAGAGGTTGCAGTGAATGGAGACAAGCCTGAGCACGCTTTGCAATACACTATGAGCTGACCTTTACACGATGCCATTTTGGCTGAATACGAATTTACATATGTTGGCCCAAATTATCTGAGGGAGCTAGCTTTGCACAGCTGTCCCTCTTGTACATAAGGACGTTGCAGCCCTGCTGGGGCCCTTCCCTTCTCTCTCAGATTGCTGGCATTAGGAGATGGGAGAGGAAAGGTGAAGAGGGGGATCTGTATCCTGTAGTACAGTGTCATGGTCTGTTCGCCAGAGCCTTACAGAAGAAAAGTTCCTGGTAGCCCAGCATGTCCTCTGACCTGACCAGCCACAGGCTGGATGGGGACCATGCATGGAAAACTCTTCAGAGATATCCTTACATCACGCTACTCTCCTGAGACCCCTTTTCTTTAGGTAGCCTCTGTAAGGAAGTTATCCAAGCTGTGGTTATTAAATAAACTTACAAAGATATGTAGATATTTGGAGAATACAATTTTTTCTCATTTATTTCCCTCTGAAATTCAGAAATGTTAAATAGAGGGGCTTATATTATGGGAATGTCACAGAGATCACGTAAAATTTTGCTGATTTCTAATCTATGTTTCTCTGACACCTTGCATTTTAACACAACACAGGTGTTTTATGTCACATGGGGAAAATAGTAGCATAGTGAAGAGGAAAAAATGTGTTTCATACACTTATTTATGAACTTACATCTGCTTTCATCAGAGTCAATGGTTGGCAAGCCTCCAATCGGCTTCAGTAGGAGTGGGCGCTAAATTTAACCATCAAATCAGCTTCATTCTAAGTAACCCCGAATAAAGGCGAGGCTTCCAGGTCCAAGGACCCATGGAGAAATACTTTCTTCAGTAGACATTTATCAGTAATCAGAGCTGAATCAGCTCAGGACTGGACAAAGTGCTCTTGGGTAGCATGATTGTAGTCCTTCCATGTTTGTTGGCTGTTTTTTTTTTTTTTTTTAAATTCCAGGTGTAACTCAGTACATTTACAAAGGGTAAAAATAACATGCAGCTGTGAAGAAAAACATCTTGGGTTTCATTTCAGACCTGGAGCTGAGGGTGAATCACTGCAAAGCTGCACCCTTTACACTGGGCACACTTTCTCGAAGTTGCTTTTCCACTGCCCCTGCTCCCTCGGTGGTTCAGAAATAAAGCAGACTCAGAAAGTGCTAAAAAAAGCCATTGAAAACAATCACTTTCTTGTTGTTCTAGGCACTAAAAATATAATTTTGTAGTGTCTGCTTGCATTTTCAGTTTTGCTTTCTATACCATAGAAGTCCGTTCCAGCCATTTGAATTAAGCCTTGGTTCAGTGGTGTGCACAAGCACACGCTCAATTTGAAGTACCTGAGTAGTCCTGTTAGCTCCATGGGAGCTGCTTACATGCTTGAAGTTAAGAATCATCTTAGAAGTTTTGCTGAACTGGGGATTTGCTTGTCCACCCAAGCCAAAACCCTTGACCGTCTGCTTCTGGATTTTAATGAAAAGTTATGACTTATTTATGATCTTCTTCCCCACCCTTGTCTGTTTATATTCAGATCAGAAAACCAGCTCAGAAGCCCTGTCAGATTGCCAAAAGCTGTGTGCTACTACTGGACCTTTCACATAATTTACTGTTCAGTGTTTACAAGACTGTTTTTAATGCACAGTTGCCCATAGAAGTGGTGTAGGCTAATACTGATGTGATATTTCACATCAGCAGCAAGACTTTGATGTCCCTATATCCCAAGTTCCTTTTCAAAGAAAAACAAAATAAAGTAACTGTGTCAGTTAGGCCAAAGGATGCTGCTAGCTCTCTGGTTCCTCAGAACAACCCAAAAAAGTCACTGAATGGGCCAAATGGTCCTTTCTTTTGTCTTTGTAACATAAGTGACCTTGGGAGTCAAGGTGGGCTTCTGCACAGGTATAAGGGCAGGAGTTGGATGATGTTTCCAAAAATACATGTTATAGTATGCAAACTCACTTATGCATATATGCCATTTGTAGTTGTTAAACAGAAAAGGTCAACATTTTAGTCACAAGCAATCATTACAAAAGCTCTTTTTCAACATGTTTACATCTGAAAGGAAAAGATACTTTGTTTAGCTTAGCTCTGTTTAGACAGAAATGAGCTGCATTGCAGAATTATGTTCAGAGGTATGTAGTGGGATAGAAAAGTTAAACCTGAAAGAATAACACATAAGTAGTCTGGTTCTGAGGGGAAAGGCTAAATTGACCACCACTCAATGATAGGCAAGACCATGTGCTGACTATATCTTCCCTTGTGGTTATTTTTCAGTCTTGTGGCTGACAAAGCAGTTATAGGACCTTTACACAAGGCAGATTTCGTATTTAATATGTTACGTGGCACCCAAGATATTTTATACCTGAAAAAGGCACGTGAAGCCAACATTTCCTAGGCAACATTCAGTGCCCTGTTCCTTCTCCTAGAGAAGATGACAGTACCCATTGAATGGTTTCTGTGATACATTTTATTTTTAAACTGAAAGCCATCAGCAGTTTGTTTTTTTTTAATATATACATTGCTACAACATGGTACAATTAGTAGCAACATTGCATAGAAAAAAAATGATATACTTTCAGTATTTAAGATATATACTAAATCTTTTCAGCTTTCCAAGTGCTAGTTATTTTTTAATACACACATGTAAGAATTATAACTGCATTAGTTCCTGACCCATGGTAGCTCTGAGCAGTCAAGACAACCAAGTCCCTTGGGCATTGAATAAAATGTCTGCCACATCCTTTTGGCATATGTTGAGCAGGCAGTGGTCCAAAATATATTATTTTTCCTCTTTTGTCCTCATACAAAAACAAAACTCTTCGGGGAAAGCATCTGTATACTGACCATTGGTGGGCTTACAGTGGCATTGCTGCCCAACACTTGCAGCAAGAGCTGGAACTTCTGAGCTGGGGAGAGCAAGAGGCTCTGGGTGAAACACATTTGGGGGGCAGGGGGCAGATCCTGAAACATGCTTTGAGGACTCTGGGTCCTTGGAGGCTCTCTTGTTCTCTGGACTGCAAATTAGTTCGTTTGCAAGGAACTGAAATGAAGCATCACAACCTGACTTGCTGCTTGTTTAATAAGACCATAATACAGTTTCAGGAGTTAAATGGTAGGACTAAAAGAAAGCTTGTTAGTAATGTATCACTAAAGAAACCAAAACCCAACTAACACCCTCCTTCCCTTGCCAAACAGCGTCTTTACATTTAAAGGTATTCCCTGTGGCTCTATTCTTTATTTTGATTTTTGTAATAATTTTTCTCTCACTGATGAAACACGTTGTAGACATTAAATTAAGGGACAAATATGTCTGTGGCTGCCAGAGAGAAAACTGTGATGCAATTAAAATGCCATTAGGGAACCCCCTGTGGGATGTTAAACCTAAAGACTCTATTCAGAAAGCAAAGCCAAAATTAAAGAGGTGTCTTGTTGCAGATCCTCTGCAGATTTCCATTTTTTGACTACAGTACCATGGAGACTGTGCTAGTCAGGAGCTGAAAGGTTTTTCCAGTCATGCGTGTGGTATTTTGAATCATGGCTTTGGCAAATGTGCCTTTTCTGTAGGCCATACGTGTCCCACATGAAACAATGACAGCAGTGGAGACGGGAAGCTGTCCAAGCCTTGGACAAGCCTTGTTGAAGGCTTGGACAATGACAACTAAGAATAATTTTCCCTCAGAAAATTTGCATTATGTGCATCTCTATGGTTGCCGAGTTGTCTGTGAGATGTTTGGAGAGAAAAGTGCAGCTACTTGCAGCTATCAGGCTCAGCAAGTTCATGAACAAGCCTGCATTCTAGCCTGGTCTCTGGACATAAATCATTAGTGTTTATGTGTTTGGAGACATATAAGAGCCTGATCCTTTGAAAATAAAAATAAATATATGGTTCATTGGGGCTGGTCATTTTTTCTGAGGCAACTGAAGGAATCAGCAGAGTCATTGGGTGGTAGGTACTGAGTTTTCCAGTGCCAGCCCAGCCCTGGTGGTTGAGTCTCATTTTTTCCATTTTATTCAGCGTGATTCTTTGCTGGAGATATTAGTAGCAACTGGAATAATAATAGAAGCACACCTCTCTTCTCTGTCTAGGAACTCTCCTGATGACTGCAGTGTGGCAAAAGGAGGGAAAATGGTTAGTGGCTCAGACAACGTTGGGATGAACTATGGAAACTACATGGAAGAGAAGCACGTTCCACCCCCAAATATGACTACCAATGAACGAAGAGTCATTGTGCCAGCAGGTTAGACCTTCTACACAAAAATTTCAAGAAAAAAAATACATTTCCCCTAAGTCTACTAGCATTATTTAAGAAGATTTGGGGAGAAGTGGCAATATGATACCGGTGATCAGGAAGAAAAGAGGAGTAATTTCCCAGGTTTATTAAGAGAACAAGCTGAGAAATATCATAGGGAAGCCACCTTGTCAACCTGTTCTTCTCATTTCAGCAGCAGAACTGGCTGATTACAGGCACTCAGATCTTATCTGACTTCTCTAGCTCCTTTTAGAGTATTTCACCCTAAAGTGAGCAAAATGAAGGGCCGCTTCCATTTCCTAACACCATGGACTAGCTGGATGCAGACTGTGTGGGAGAGAGAAAGGATTGCTGTATCACATGATATCCGTGCAAATACCAAATGCAGTCCAGCCCTCAGTGAACTAAAAACATAATAGCTTCTGCGAAATCAAACGGTGCATCAAAAGCATTTATCTAGGTTATCCCCCAAGTCTGGGTGGTGTAAAACATTTTAATAAGCAAACTGACAACTCCACTGCAATATAAGAGCAAAATTGAGAAATTCTTGGTTAGTCTTGGCAAGTTTGGTTGTGGGATTCAGCAGTTAATTGAACAAGAAGGCATTCACTCCTGTGTGCCTTGTCCTCCAAACAAACCTCTGCTGTAAGGTAGTTGGCTCAGTTTGCAAAATAATTAGCATGCCTATTTCCAAAGTCAAAGCATTAGACCATCATGACATATATGGGTGTTCATAAACCACTGGATATACACAGCATAGACACAATACCTGAAACCTGCAGACAGAAGGGAATATTTTGCTGCTAGTTCCTCTCCAGCAGAGATGTGCCTATCTGAAACATTTCTGTGACTGCTATGTTGCTTAATATTCTTACAGTTTTTCAGTTGCTAAGATATGCAAGAGTACGAACTGTGGCCAATTTTGCAAGCTGTGATTATTTCAGTTATTTGTCAAGATACTTGTGGACAAATATGTTGCAGTATCCTCTGCAATGGTATTGACAGTTCTATTCTGAAGCACAGAAAAGTGGTGCACTGAATAATGAAGTGTCCTGCCAACTGGAAGCAGACTACACTGAAATACACGACATTTGAATGTTCTTCTTAAATATTTGTCTTGGTGGTTGGCACTTTTTTCAGTCTTTTAGTAACCCTCAGCTCAGCAAGATCTTTTTATCTCAGTGTATTCCTAGAGGTGTGTTTTGAGGTAGATTTGAGTGACATTCAAGGAACAAGATGGTCACAGACACAGTTTTACTGGTTTGAGGTCCCTAGAAGAAATGTATGGGTAAAAATTAGTTGGTTTTGTTTGACTACCACATAGGCAGTGTGCAGCTCCTGTGGCAAAGCTTAGGAATAAAAAAAGCAAAATTCACATTTCCATCTGTGGTAACTTTCTAGTTATCATAAACAAGAAGGCATAATCTAAATGTTTTGGTAAACTTCCTGGTGTTTAGTTGTTTAATTTAAACCAAACTGAAGGTAGTTGTTGGAGTTCTCTGCTGTAGGTGTGGGCAATCTCATCCAGACCCTAGGTTTACCCACCAGACTTGCATCTCTCTAGTTTGCTATGTATTTCATACCAAATGGAGTGGTTCTTTGAAGTGTTTTTTGGTGCTCTTCAGAGAACAGAGGAACCCTATGAAGCTCCAGAAGATTAAATATTCTGACTTGCAAGGGCTTAAAATGCCAAGAGAAGCATCAGAAAGGGGGAAGCACTAACAGGTGAAAGATTGGGAGTGAGCAACAGCATGACAGACTCTGAATAGTTCCTAGCCTATGGAAAGAGGTCCCCACCTCTTTCAGACGAGTTTGAACAATAGTCAAAAGAGAGGGAATGGCACTAAAGTTAAGCCACAGAAAAGCTATTTAGGCTGTCATTCAAGTCCCAGCCCTTCTATAGACTTTCATGTGATGGACTACAGCCATTTGACCTCTGTGTGCTCCTTTCTCAGAGCACAGATATCACAGAATCACGGAGTCATTTAGGTTGGAAGGCACAAACTCTCAAGGAGTTTGTTTCCCCTAGGCTTTAATCTTTTCTCTGCAAAAAGTATAAATTCTTCACGGTAGGACCTGTCTTCTATTATGGAGATGTGCGGTGCAGGTCCTTAGGGACCTTCATGTTGATGGGTGCTTACTGTAACTCAAGAAAAGGGAAAAAGTAGAATGGAAGAGAAATAGAGAAGGAGGAGTTTAGAAGCAAAAAAGAAGCTTAAGTTAAAATCAAGGATTCATTCAAAAACACAAGGTATTTGGCCTTATGTTTTGCTAAAAATCTGGAGTAGTTCTTGCTTTTTTCCCAGATGGTTTTGCCAATACTTCGGGTAGTAAGTAAAAACCCATGCAGGTATAGCATAGTGTACACCAGTACAACACAGCAGTCTAGGAAAGGAAATGCAGAGGATTTTAATATGACCCACTCTATGAAATAACTAACCAAATCTGTGAGTGCTTACTTAGCCCACGCCCAAGAAACAGTACTTCTGACTTGAGTGGAAATTTCACTTGAATAAAGATACAGATTCAACAGAGGGCTTTAAAAATTATTCATATACAAGTCGCAGTGCTGGTAGCGAGCTCTCTTAAATACTTTTCCAAAAAGTATTGCCTGCATGAGGACGGGAGCCTATGTTAACTTGTGGGTGATAATGCATAAAAATAACAAGACAAAAGAACTAAATGGGAGAAGGAGCTCAACAGCAGCAGGTTTGTTGTTAGTAATCAGAGCTCACAGCTCTTCCCTAATAGTTTTTCATAGATAGTTATTCTCCTTTGTGCTCAAGAGGCCAAGGTAATTCCTCGTTTATCTCCAGCAGTCAGTAAAGAGAGGATTAAGGTCTCTCCAGTCTAACTGTAGTCTACATTTATTTTGTATTGGTCAGCACTATCCCCTCTCTGCCTAATTTTATGCTTTGTGATACCACCAGATCCTACGTTATGGAGCACAGACCATGTACGCCAGTGGCTGGAATGGGCGGTGAAAGAGTATGGTCTCCCGGATGTGGACATCTTGTTGTTCCAGAACATTGATGGGAAAGAGCTGTGTAAAATGACCAAAGACGACTTCCAGAGACTCACCCCAAGCTATAATGCAGATATCCTCCTGTCACATCTACACTACCTCAGAGAGAGTAAGCTAGTTTTCTGTCATTATGGTAGTGGCTACAGTCAATCTGTGGTTGATATCAGTTTTAGATTTAATGGTGTGGATACACTTAGCTGGGTTTTCAAATGTCTGTTGCAAATGTTGCTGTTCCTAAGAACATAGTAGGGAGCCTGATCCAAAGCCTCTTGAGTTTGATGGAAAGATTCCCATTAATTTCTGTTGGCTTTTATGCATGTTCATTGAAGAAAAGAGTTAGGCACTATTTCTACGTGTCCATCTCAGAGAAAAATAAAATTGAAACTCAGCATATTCATCAGCATACTGTAGGAAGAAAATCATATGGGATTCAGTGCTAATGTTTTTTCTGGTCACATACTCATTTCTTTCCATTTTAATGATGAGAATGCTAAACAAGAGTGCAAACATTGATTCATAAAGTGAATTCCAGGCATGATTCTAAGGACTGACAGCAGTTTGCTCTACTCTGAATAGGATCAGGAAGATTTCACTAAATTGAATAAAAGTTCTGTAAATCATGGGAAAAAGGAACAGCCCCTGAAGTTCAAATGCAAATTACTTGTAGTGCATGGCTAGCAATTCAAAGGGAAAGAAGGGACTAGTGAATTCCTGGCTTGAAGGCTTTCATCTAAGCTTGAGGAAATTTTGCAGGTTTGCCTCAGTTTGAAGAAGTTAAAGTGAACATGGTTTTTAAAGAATAAAACAACAAGCATTGCAACACCAGTGCGGTGCAGTCTTCTCCACACGCACACTGTCAATAATCACTCAGAAATATTATGCATTCATAATGTTGAATAAATGAATGCCCTAGTTTAAGCTGTAGCACACATGCCTCCCTCCAAACTACAGACTGAAACTGACTGTCAGTAGACTCTCAAACAATCCAGGGGAAAATATGGTTTAAAAAGATAATTCACAATTTTTTTTCATTTTGGTGTTGCTTTTTGTTTTGTTTTGTAGCTCCTCTTCCACATTTGACTTCAGATGATGTTGATAAGGCCTTACAAAACTCTCCACGGTTAATGCATGCTAGAAACACAGGTAATGCTGGCACTGCTCCCATTGCTATAGGTCATCTTCTAAAAAGCACAGGATTCCTTTTTATGGGTTGCTTGATAAAAACGGAAATGGTAAATCAGGAGGGAGTCAAGCGTATCCTCTGCTTGCTGTGTGTGTGAGTTTCATGCACAGACACAGAGAAAAAAGTGGAGATCATGTAGGGCAGATGATGAAAAAATGGTCTCCTTACTGGTAAATTCTTGTGTCCTACAAGAGAATGGGGTCCCTGACACATGATAAACTGCAGGCTCAGGGCCTTCATCTTTGAGGACTTCTTTTCTCATTCTGTCTCATTGTACTGTCAGATCCAGTCCATGGATCCCTAGAAGGCTGGTGGAGCTCAAAAGTGCTTCAGTGCATGCCTAAGTGCTGTGGGCTCTGGTGAATGGGGACTGTCTCCCCTCCCATGCATATGTATCATATAATTCAATAAAATTGCTATTTAGGCAGTTAGATCATCTCTTTTGTTACCTATATGGGACTTGAGCTGGAAACTCCATGGAGTTTGATGTTGGACTCTCCACTAAGTCTGATCTGAATGTAAAATTATTTTTGTTAATATTCACCCTTCCGTTAATTTGGCCCAGAAAAGTATTGAGTGTAGGTAGGAGAACAATACATGCCTCAAAAGCATCTGTCTTTCAGGATGTGACTGAAAATATTTATGAAAATAATTCAGAATAAATTTTATCTTACTCTAGCAGTTGTACAACAGAGGGTGGCATGGAATTGTACATATAGTATGGTATACCTTACTGATTAAAGATGTTTGGAATATTGCATGATCATGCCTGAGGGTATTAGTTACCTAAAGTGACCAGAAATAACAAATCTTCATGAGAAATGAAAAAGATAATACAAAGGATAATGCAAAAGAAAAAAACCCCCACCAACTTGAATTGCGATGCATCTTTCATATTTCATTTATTTTTTCACTGTGGTAAATAGCAGTGAGTTTCCTAGTAAAATTAACTAGATTAGAAGATTTCTCACTGAGATTAGATTTTTGCCACTTGACATAAAGTCCTACTGTGGGCTGTAGGTGTGCTGCAAACCCCACCAAAACCAACAAAAATTTTTTCGTTGACTTTGATGGAGTTTTGAATAAGCCTTAAGCCCTTTTTAAAAATAGATGGACTTGGTCTTTTCCATCTCTGGCTTTCCAGATTCTAATTTGCCAAGCAGTTTCCTCATACAGTTATCCAAGTTTTGTTCAGCAGTTCTATGTGTTATCTTTTTCTATATGTGTGCACTGACAATGATATTTTGAAATTCATTTCGCCAAAATGAGGTTGTCTGCATTTCTGTCATTGGGAGTGTGAATAATATCATGCTGATCATTATCATAGGGAAAATTGGTTGTTCTGTTGGCATAAGAACTTTGGAGTGGGATTTTCAAAGGATGCCCAAAGAGTTAGAAAGAAGTTCTTCTTGAAGACAGCAGTAATTGCACAAATTCTTATGACCCTTTTCATATTCCTAGAGATGGTCATTAGAAGTCTCTTGATGTAGTTAGAGCAATTTCAATGCCTGGGATAAGTTAGATACCATTTTCTGTATCAAGCACAATACTTCTCATTTTTTCACTCTGTGAAGAGAATGAGATTTCTGAGGGTCTGACCCAAAGCAGACCAAAGTCTGTGAGAAGATTCCCACAGACACTGATAGGATTTGGCCCAGGCCTACAGTCTCCGTTGAAAATATGAAAAACTCCCACTTTTTGGGAAGTGTATGCACTAACGAAGAGAAGACAAAGAAGTTTTATTTCAGAAGATATGAAACCACCTGTCCAGGTGGAGGTGATTGTGTTGAAGGTAGAAGGGATTTCCTGAACTTGACTTTCTTCTCCCTTACTATGGATTTTACACAGGCTTTTATCCAGTAATTTGAAAGGATTTATACAGGTGCAAAGGATATCAGAATTAACATTTATATATAACGGTCCTAAGACAGAAATTAGGCATTCATAGTCTTCATGCAGACACTACAAGAGGGAAATATCAGTGGATTTAGGGGCTGTGAAAATGAATCTTTAGGTGTTATGTCTTCTTTCTCTTTAGGAGGTGCCACTTTTATTTTTCCAAATACATCAGTTTATCCAGAAGCAACACAAAGAATTACAACCAGGCCAGGTATGAACAATGACCACCTTTTGTGTGCTGTGATCTTCCTCGTTTAATCTCTTGAAGTATCTTGTTCTTTTTCTCCTTCAACTCTCTTTTCATAAAAATTAGGCTGTATTTTGAATACACACACATATTTTATACATATATTATATACATATTTATATGTATATATAAATATGAAAACAATCATCAAAATCAAACATATTTAAAGTCATAATTTTCATTCAGAAAGAAAAATAGATTTTTTTTTGCAGAAATTCAGTTTTCTCTCAAGAAACTATTTTGTTGGCTTAATCCATGACTTTCCTTTTAGTTAAATGTCACATTTCAACTAGACTGCAAAGAAGTTTTTCCATAACAAAGTGCCCTTAATGTGAGAGCAATAGCAGACCCTGGGGACAATCACTTGATGACATGAAAAAGGTCAAAAATGAGGAGGGGGGGCATAAATAATGTTAAACGGGAATTAGCCAAATCATGGGATGCAATTCTGGAGAAAGTAATTAAGCATTGCCATTGTTAAGGCACTACAATAGAAAATAGGAAATGAGCAGGGCTTGTAAAGAACTGCAATGACAAAGGCGTATTTCTTCAGTCACCTTTACAACAGAACATGAGGTTTCAGCAAGCTGAAAGTAATACACTGAAGCTATCAGGAGCTCAGGGAGACCTAATATGGGTTTGTCTACATGTCTCATCAAACAGGAGCATTCCCATCAAAGATCTGTCCAAGATAAGGACATATTGTACTAATACATCATGAATAAGAACAGATCTGCTTATCTAGAATAGCAATATGTTTATCAAGGCATAATACTGAACTAAGAATGAAGTTGGAATTTTGCACTATTTCAAGAAAGGCTGATAAATGTATTTTTCTTTTAATGGAGAGGGTGTAGTCAGAAAACCATCTTACGATGTGTTGAGTTAAAAGGCAAAACAGTTTTCTCACAGTACTAAATTTGTACCAAATGTATTTTAAGGCTGCAAGTGCCACTGAGTACACACAGCCCTCTCAGCGTATATGTGTCTAATAATTTGGAGAGGGAGAGGGAGAGGGAGAGGGAGAGGGGAGAGGGGAGAGGGG